TATTATTATTATTATTATTATTATTATTATTATTATTATTATTATTAATAATAATAATAATAATAATTGTTGTTGCTGTTGTTTCCTAGTATGATTTATAGTACCTATGTCTACTTCTAAGTGTTATACCTATGATTCTTGACGTATTATCTTGAGAGCATTTGCACCAAGACAAATTCCTTGTATATCCAATCACACTTGGCCAATAAAGTATTCTATTCAGAGGTGGTATTCAGCAGGTTCTCACCAGTTCTGGAGAACCGGTAGTGAAAATTTTGAGTAGTTTGGAGAACCGGCAAATCCCACCTCTGACTGGAGATTTTACAGTATCCTTCTCCTGCCACGCCTACCAAGCCATGCCCACAGAACCGGTAGTAAAAAAATTGGAATCCCACCACTGATTCTATTCTATTCTATTCTGTTCTGTTCTAAAAATAATACAGAGAGTATCTGAGTTATAACTATTCATTCAGCAACCATCTGAAATTACAACACTGAAAAGAGTGGCTTATAATGGTCCTCACACTTCTGACTGTAGCAACAACCTCATAGTGATGTGGTCAAATTCAGGTGCTTGGCAAGTGGCAAGTGGCATATATTATTGTTCTGGAGTTTTGTGATCACTATTTGTGACCTACCCAAGTGGCTTCAGCAAGCAAAGTCAAGGAGGGAAATCAGATTTGCTTAACAACTATATATTCACTTAAGAACTGCAGTGATTCACTTTATAACTGTGACATAAAAGTCAAAAAATTGAGTGCAATTCATTTTAACAATTGGTTCGGTCTCAATTGTGGTCATAAGTCATCTATCAAGGACTACCTATAACCATGCATGAAAATAAAGACTAATTTACAATAATTTGTATACTATTATATCAATCACTTTTCTCTGAATTCAACCTACATTTGTATTCTGGTATCACATACAGTATACTACATTCAGAAATTGTTATTTGAAGAGATAAAACTTAACATTAATTTCTAGAAGGAACTAAACATTACAAATAAAGGAGATGAACATTCAAATTTGACCTTCCATTACAGGAGAAAGCAAAACATTTTAACTTTGGACACATTTAATAATATTTTTGAAGCATGAATTCAGAATTTAATAAGAGTGCCTTCCTCTATAGATAAGACTATAAACCTTATAAGGTTTATAAAGTTACTAATTCAGTTATTTCAACCATGTATCTCAATGTATTCCAATTATCTAAGTGAAGCATTCAGTTTTATGTATTAAAATTTTCTTTTGGGATTATGATTTGAACAAAACCTATTCAATACTTATGTTTTGTTCAAATCATAATGCAAAAAAATGTAATCTATTTTCCATTGTAAAGAAGTCCAAAGCATATTGAATGTATCCCCAAAAGCTAACCTTCTAGCACCTTATTTGTACATTCATCCAGATTCCAAACTATCACATAATCTTGTGAAGCAGAGCAAATAAGGAGAGGATCAACTTTGGTCCCAAATGCCAGTGCAGTAATTGCGTGATGATGACCTATTAAACGCAATGGCTGAACAACATCATCATTTTGGTTATTTTAAGGCAGATGCAGTGCACAAAATCAAAAAGAGTAAATTTCTTCTGAAATGTTCTTCATAGATCTTAAGGTAAAATATACAGTATACATAAAATCATATTAGATACAGCAGTTTGCTTTATTGTTCCACACTCACATTAGTTTTTTAAGACTGCTCTGAAAAAGTAGGGATTCTTCACAGCAGATTGGGGATCATGCGGTAGGCAAGCATATCTGACCACTACTAAATTCAGCTCACAATTAAAAGACAACTATAGGTAGTCCTCGACTTACAACCATCATTGAGCCCAAAATTTCCATTGCTATGCAAGATGGCTGTTAAGTGAGCTTTGCCCCATTTTATAACCTTTGTCACAGCTGTCAAATGAATCACTGTATTTGTTAAATTAGTAACACACTTGTTAAGTGAATCTGGCTTTCCCATTGACTTTTCTTGTCAGAAGGTCACAAAAAGGTGATCACATGACCTTGGGACATTTCAACCCTCATAAATAATGCCACTTGGCCCAATATCTGAATTTTGACCACGCGACCATGGGGATGCGGCAATGTATGTGTGAAAAACAGTATAAGTCACTTTTTTCAGTGCCATTATAACTTTGAAAGGTCACTAAAGTTGTAAGTTGAGGACTACCTGTACGCTAACCTAAGCCTTCCCTAGCAAACATCAGTCTAGAATAAGCTTTAAGCAGGCAAAGTTCCAAAATAAGAGAAAAAAAAATAAGGAAATATTTTCCCTGTAACATTCTGTATGTGTGTGAGGGGGGTGGGGGGGATTGTAAAAAATAAAAACGGGAGGAAATTAAAATATGGGCATGTTCACAAGTAATAGATAATGATGGCTGAACCCCAGTAAAGTTCTGTGAATGTGGCAGGGCAGTCACAGGATGAAAACTTCATCTGGAATTGCACTAAGAAATCTAACATTAGGCAAACACAAAACTATGTTGCATTTTTGCCATAATAAGTAGATGATAGTATCCCTTTAAATATGAAAAGTGTACTTTACGTCATCACTGGTATCATATTTGCTGTTCCTGGACATGTGCTTTTAACCACTTCTATATTCATTTCAAAAGGATTAGTACAAGTGGTGCTTGCGGACTGTTTTCCCTAAAATGTTACTTTCAGCACTAATGCCCACAAAGAAACTGGTATTTAACCTGATGGTTAGGCTCATCACTCATATTCCAAATACAAAGTTCATTTCCATTTAAGGGAAAAGCACAGTAATGGAGGCTACAAGCCAGCTGAACATGTGATTCTGGCACTTTCGATCTAAATACTTGTTTTTCAAGAACAATGCTGCTGCTGTTATATCCATCTTCAATGGAGCAGAGGTCCATGAGGTTTTCCATAGTATACCTGAGACATAACAAATTGAATATAATTATATCACTCAATATATTTAGAGGTACTTTGTATTTACATATTGTTCAAAATATTGTGTACAATACTTTAACCTTAGTAAAAGTAGTCAAGGGTCTAGTTTAGTCTCCCAAACTTATAAAAATTGAATAATCATAATTTAAATCATTTTAAGATAAAGTGAATGATACAATCTATTTAAAATATGAATTTATATTAATGTTACAGTAAAATGTGCAATTCCATTGGATAAGTATGGGGGACTGCAGACAGAGGCAGGAGTTAGAATTTCTGAACTCTAAATGCCAACAATTCTATTAAATACAAACGATAAGGATTGTTGTGAAACAACCCTTGCTGCTTTAAAATAAAGTTTTAAAAGTCATTATAAAAGTACAAATCATATTATATATGGAAACCTAGACTTATAATAATCCTTTAAATACCATTTGAACATTTCAGATATTATCAGTTGTGACGTGGAAAACAAATATATATTACTGGTTTTAATTTGTTCCTGGTCAGAAAGAGGTTATTAGAAAACATAACAAAAAATGCTGCAGCAACGAGCTGGGATTCATGTAGATCTTTTTAAACAAGGCAAGGAGGTATCTCACCAGGCTCAATGTTGCTTTGCAACTACAATTCTTATGGTCCTGGCAGGATCACGTTTTCTTGAAGTACCATAAAGTAAGCTTATTTAAGGCTTGCTACCTTGAATCCAGCCAGATTGGTTTATATAATGCTTCCAGATCTTGCAAATGTCTAGTCAACCACAAAACAACAAAGAGCTCCCTTATTATGAAATATCATTGCTGCCAATCCAATAGTTCTCTGGATTTTGATAGGTCAGATCAGGTACCTCTAAAATACATTTATTTGTTGTTTTAGTTTTGCAAGCTGCTTCAGCTCGGATAGTTCTGCTTTGCTATCGTGGAGAAACCAACCAGTTGGATTGCACACTGGCTTTTCTGTGAGAAAGAGGTCCACGAGAGAAAGGATCCTGGGGAAAAACTGAACTTCGTCCAGACTTTCTCCCGCGAGGATTCCACGGTTAACAACGGGGCGTGAAATATCCACGACCATGGGGGACTGGAATGAAACGGAATCACGATCGAGTACAGTACAGATCCCAGCCGCGAGGCAGCCCGGTCGCCAAATATGCAGCGCGCCGCACTTTTTTTCAGTGTGGCGGCAAATCAACCCGCGAAGACGTCAATCCCAAAGCAGCTTCTTGCTCGGGGGAAAAAAATCCTCGTTATTATCTTTACCGCGCGTGGCTGCCACGACTGTTGCTCGCAGGCTCCTGTGTGCGAGATTAGGAGGTGAATGTAAATCTTTCCCAGCTGGAAGGTGACGGCCGCCTGGTTTCCTAGGCAGCAACGATGCTTACGGCAAAGCCTCGGAGCCAATTCTAGACGTTGCTTTCGTCTTCGTGTGAGTTTCGTTCAAGCAGTTCCGAAGAGCCGGGAAGGATTGCGCTGTTCTGTATGGGATGGAGATCCTTTTCTCCTTCCTTTTCCAACCGGTCTTTAGGGGTAATATGCCAAGCTCAAAACCGATATGTGGGCGATTTATCTATCTCATTTTCCTGGAGAGAATTGTATTTTTGAAATTTTGCCTGCAAGTTCAGAATTGATAAATTGCCACCTGTTTAGATTATGAATGATTCCAGAAAAATAACTGTCTTCTTAAAGAACAAATAATCAAGAACAAAATGACTGTTGCTAAACATACACTCTTCAAGAGGGTTACTGTACTATGTTTACATAACAAAAAATTACAGTAGATTAAAACACCTATATTTTCCTCTATGAGTGCCATAACTTAAGAAAACTCAGTTTAAAAAATGATGACACGAACAATTATGCAACTTACATTTTTACTAATCTTAAAGGCATATTGTCTCAATCAAAATGACCATTCAGTTCTGCCTTAATGGCTAATTAGTGCCCAGTTTTGTACAGGCTGCTATTTAGTGATCCTGACCTGTATACCATACAGCTAGGTTACAATCTAAGCTGATTTTCTGTACTGTTACATATGCAAAACTTCATATTCATATACATACAAGGACACACACAACAGACACACACACCACATACAAAAATGTATTTATGGTATGTATATATACAAACACATAGATATGAACTTCAGATTTATTTAAACTTATTTTATATATCCCATTGCTACAGTTGAGTATTGTCCTAACACATTTCAAAATATCTTTTTTTCAAAATCTTGAATATGTATGTTTTTGGGAACAAAAATGGCCGAATGAAGTATTTTTATGAAAGTTTATAGTAATTTAAACACACACACACACATTCTGGCATATTTTTTTGTAGGCCACTTCTTACATGTCCATGAGTTGTCACTTCATATGCAGCCTCTTTTAGTTGTATGCTGATGTCAGACCAAGTACTTAAAGAGCTTGCATTGTGACATCACAACACACTTTTTTATATGTCTATCATCTCCTTCATTATCTCCAGCTTACTTTGTGAACTCCTTTGGCTAAGGCAGCATTTTGTGTGTATGGCCAGACAGCAATAATAAAGGAAAACTACTCAATTAACATGTAGGTTTCTGGCCCTTTAGAAATTAGGGAAGAAATTGATCATGTTTATTGCTAGTAGGAAATCAATCATACTTGCAGCATTACTTACAAATCAGTTCAACTATACATATACTTGTCATTGTTGGTTTTATATTTTATACTTTTGTTAGTAAGCTGCGTCGGCTCTCCTTATCTTGCCATTAAAAACATTTCATTTTTATGAATTACTTTCATGCTTTGAGTAAAGTCAGAGAACGATGGGCAATGGATGTATTTCAAACTTTTCTAATAATAACAATCACGACAAGAAGCAACCAATGGTTGCTGGCAATATTCCACCAGCGCTACCCGAAAATGTTCCTTTCAGCCAATGGTTGACCGCTCTTCAGCCTCGGCTCACGACCTGTTTTCTGTTGCCACGGTGTTAGAACGAGACCATTTCTCCGGATAATCCCTCCCCGGTCATCGCTCCGCCTTCTTCTTCTTTTTTGCTTCGCAGAACAAAAATCCATAGAGCAAGCTCGAGTCGAAATCTCGCGAAGCCGAAGAACTCTCGTAGTGAGATAGATTGCCATTCTGTCAAAAGATTCTGGCGGCCTCCTCGATGGTGACTGAGAGGGCGAGCGAAGTGGCTCCACGATAGGGTGAGTTTGTTGCGGGGGTGGGGGAGGACAAACCGGGCCCGGGGCAAGCCGGGGTGGGGGAAGGGGGGAGAAGGGGAGAACTACGCGAGCCCTTGCGCGAGGCTGGGGGGAGTGGCCCGTCTCTTGCCTGGCGGGTCGATAGGGCGCTGCTGAAGAGTTAAAGAAGACTTCGGCGGCGTTAAATGACAGGTCCCGTTTACTTTGTGTGCGCGTGCGGGGCTCTCCTCTCTCCCCCCCCCCGCCCCCGCCCGGCAGACTCTTGACGAAGCCCTGAAAAAGCGGGCGAATTGAGGGGAAAGCGGGTGGCTCCCGAAAAGGCGGAGCTTTCCTTCCGGAGTGGGTTTCTAAGTTTCTTTACACATTGTCCGGTGGGCCATCTGACATCCCCTCAGACCGCGCTCACCCTCCTCTCTGCCTCTCTCTTTCCTGTTGTCAGGACTGCAAATCTCTCTCCAGGGTGGATTCAATTTGGTATAAATAGACGAGCAACCACCAGGCACCGAGGTCTGATTCTGCAAGGGAGAGAGTTTATAGCCCTGGTAACTTCCTACGCTGAGGCTAAATTCGGTTTAAAATATAGAATAACGGAGTTGGAAGGGACCTTGGAGGTCTTCTAGTCCAACCCCCTTCCCCCCACCCCCTTCAGGCAGAAAACCACATGCCATTTCAGACAAATGGTTGTCTAACCTCTTGTTAAAAACTTCCAGTGTTGGAATATTTACAACTTCTGGAGGCAAGTTGTTCCACTGGCTAATTGTTCTGTCAGGAAATTTCTCCTTAGTATCTGGATTGCATCTCTCCTTGATCAGTTTCCACCCATTGCTTCTTGTCTTGCCCTCAGGTGCTTTGGAGAATAGCTTGACTCCCTCTTTTCTGTGGCAACCTCTGAGATATTGGAAGACTGCTATCATGTCACTCCTAGTCCTTCTTTTCATCAGACTAGACAGTCCCAGCAACGGTTCTTTGCTTTAGCCTCCAGTCCCCTAATCATCTTTATTGCTCTTCTTTGCACTCTTTCTAGTCTCAACGTCTTTACATCATGGCGACCAACACTGGATGCAGTATTCCAAGTGTGACCTTACCAAGGCATTATAAAGTGGCGTTAATATTTCACGTGATTTTGATTCTGTCCCTCTGTTTATGCAGCTTAGAACTGTGTTGGCTTTTTGGGCAGCTGCAGCACACTGCTGGTTCATATTTAAGTGATTGCCCACTAGGATTTAACTTAACAGAGGAAGCCTCCTGTTATTTGTGGTACCTGGTGCCCTGTGCTTGAGACTGCTTTCTGTGGTTTCATTTTCATGTGTCTCCATTTTCCCGCTCCCCACAAAAAGCCCTGCTTAGCAAATTATTGTTATGAGGAATTAATGTTACCTTTTAGGTTGTAGTCGCCTGCTTCTGACTGATGAAAAGCAGTGTGTATTCCTCTCTTGTCCTGTGATTTCAGGACACTGAGGGAGAATTGCTGCTCCGGGGCATTGTAAGAGACTCTGGGACTCTTTCTGCCTTCAGAATCTATAGATTAAGATAGGTTAAGATATGCAGTCACTGTGGTGTTTCTATGAAAACATGCTGCCTCTGTGTATGTTTAAGATCCAATCTATGTTTAGTGTGTTTATAAAATTATATTTGATGCATGACTGGAAATATATGGAAGTCCTAATTTTCATATATGCCTATAGCGGTATAGAACCACTGTATAATTATTTAAAGAAAAAAAACACATGTTCCACAGAAAAGCAAATGTATATGCTCTTGTTGAAATTTAAATAAATAACAGATGCTTATTTCTGAGACCATTTTCATGCTAAATAGCCTATTCCTATGATGTTTACCAAGGTCACATTTACTACTAAAATATTAATGACAACATTCTTTCTATCCGTGGCATCAACTTGGTCCTGACATCCCAGTGGTATCAACTTGTTCAGAAGAGTATCAAAGTGATTTCCCAGAATAATCTTTCTATATTTATTCAATATTAATAGTTTGTTTAAACTATAATTTTTGTTGCTTTTTTATAAGAGTGATAGAACATGGTATTGGGAGGTTACTTCAGTCACAGGTTTATTTTATATCCAACACAGGTGTGATGGCCCCTTACTACAAGAGGATACTAGTAATACTGTTTACTTTTCAAGGACTTCTTATAACAAGTGCTTTTAATGAGGATGGGGATGTACCTGAAGAATGGATTCTCCTGCATGTAGTTCAAGGCCAGATTGGTGCTGGAAATTACAGCTACTTGAGACTAAATCATGAAGG